AAAATTGGGAAAAATCCTTCTGGAATGAGGGGGAAAAAAGCCTCTGGAATTTCCATGGACTCAGCCCCGATTCCACGGATATTTTGTCTCGAATTCCCCGGGGAATTTTTTTTTTTTTTTTTGGGGAACCTTGTCAATTCCTTGCAGGAGAAATCCAGCCTGGAGCAGGAGCGGGAAAATTTGGGAATGCAGCTGCGGAATCTGCGTCGGGAGCTGGAGGAGAGCGCAGAGGAGACGGAGCAGTGGCGGGAAATGTTCCAGAAAAACAAGGAAGAGCTCCGGAATTCCAAGCAGGAGTGAGTCCCGGAGCCTGGGCTGATCCAAAATTTGGGATTTTCTGAGATTTTCTGAGATTTTCAACTCCCAACTCCCAACAAAGCAAGGATTTTGGGATGGAGGGAATTTTTTTTTGGGAATTGCTGGGATTTTCCAGGCTGCTGCAGGCGCGGCTGGAGCGGGAGGAGCTGGAGGAGGAGATCCGGGAGCTCCGGGAGCGACTCCAGGCGGCGCGGGAGGATCGGGATCGAGCCCGGAGCGACCCCCAGGAGCTGGGAAAGCTCCGGAAGGTGCGAGAAATCAGTGAAAATTTATCCCAAAATTGTTTTTTTTTTTTTTTTCCAAAATTCAGGATTTTTCCTCCCCAAATTTGGGAATTTGTTTTGGTCAAAATTTGGGATTTTTTCCCAGGAGCTCGAGCAGGCCCGGAAGGATCTGGAAAAGCTCCGGGGGGAGCGAGATGAGGCTGCTCAGGTAAGGAGGTGAAATCCCAAGAAATGTGAATTTTTTTCTGGAAATTTTTGGGACTTTTTCAGAATTTGGGGTCCCAGATTTGCTCATTGTGGGCTCAGCCAAAATTGTCCCAAAAAATTAAAAAGAATTCCCACAAAATCCCCCCCAAAATCCCAAAAAAATCCTGAAAAATCCCCCAAAATTCCTCAAAATGCCCCCAAATCCCCTCTGGATCCCCCAAGGCCCAGATTTCCCTGGAATCAGCACTGGAGGTGTCGGAGGAGGCGCGGAAACTTCTGGAATCGCAGCTGGAGGAATCCAAGGAACAGCAGAAGAACGAGGAACAGCTCCGGGAGAAAGTGGCCGAATTGGAGGTACTGGGAATTCCTGAAAATCCAAACTGGAGGTGCTGGGAATTCCCAAAAATTCAAAGAAAAATTTAAAAAAAAATCCCCCCAAAAATAAAAAAAAAAAACAACCCCAAAGTCTCCCCCAAAAATCCCTATAAATCCCCAGAAATCCCCATGGAGCCCCACTTCAGCCCAAAAATCCCAAGAGCCCCCGCTGATCCCGAAATCCCCAAGGAGCCCCGCTGATCCTGAAATCCCCTGAGAGCCCCGCCGATCCCGAAATCTCCGAGAGCCCCGCTGATCCCGAAATCCCAGAGCGCCCTGCTGATCCCGAAATCCCAGAGCACCCCGCCGATCCCGAAATCCCCGAGCCCCCCACTGATCCCGAAATCCCCAAGGAGCCCCGCTGATCCCGAAATCCCCAAGGAGCCCCGCTGATCCCGAAATCCCAGAGCCCCCCGCTGATCCCAAAATCCCCAGGGAGCCCCCGCTGATCCCAAAATCCCAGAGCATCCCGCCGATCCCGAAATCCCCGAGCCCCCCGCTGATCCCAAAATCCCCAGGGAGCCCCGCTGATCCCGAAATCCCCAAGGAGCCCCGCTGATCCCTAAATCCCCGAGCCCCCCGCTGATCCCGAAATCCCCAGGAAGCCCCCGCTGATCCCAAAATCCCAGGGATCCCCGCTGATCCCAAAATCCCCGAGCATCCCGCCGATCCTTTTTTTTTTTTTTAAATGGAATTTTGGGGCTTTTAAAATGGAATTTTGGAGCGTTTTTTGGTGGAATTTTTGTTTGTTTTTTTTTTTTTTAATGGAATTCTGGCGTTTCCTCATCCCAAAATCTTTGTCTTGTGGGACTGGGACCTCTTAGAGGTTTGGGAAGAGATTCCAGGGGTTTTTCCTGAAAATCCCTGGATTTCTCCATGGAAATCTGGTATTTTTTCATGGAATTCTTGAGTTTCTTATGGAATTCTGAGGGTTTTTTCATTGAATTCTGGGGTTTTTCCATGGAATTTTCAGCTTTTTTTTCATGGAATTCCGGGATTTCCACCCCCAACACCCAGATCCCATTTTTGGCACCATCCCACAAAATTCCCAATCCCAAAATTCCCGTTTTTCAGCTGGAGCAGATGACAGCAGAATCCCAGAGCTCCCTCGCCTCGCTCCGATCCCAGCTGGAAGAATTCCAGGAAAAATCCCGCCGGGAACTCACGGATTCCCAAAAAATCGCCCAAGACCGCGAGGCAGAGGCAGAAAAATTCCAACAGAACCTTGGGAAGCTCCAGGACGAGGTTCATTGGGAATCGGAGCTGATTTTTCCAGGAATCCCACAGATTTTTGGGGAAAATCCAGCTGGGAATTTGGGGAATTTTGGGGTTTTTCCTGGCAGGTTTCCCGGCTGAAGGAGACGATCCAGGAGAACCGGGAGGAGAAGGATCGGATCCTGCTGGACAAGGAGCTGCTGCTCCAGAAGCTCCAGGAGCTGGAGCAGGAGCTGGAAAATCGGAAGCGATCCCAGGAAGAGCGAGCCCGGCATTCCAAGGCACTGGAGGTGGGAATTCCTGAAAAAAAAAATCCCGGAAAATTCTCCAAGAAATGGAAAAAAAAATACGGCTCCCAGAAAATCTCCCCCCAAAATAATGGAAAATTCCTAAAGAACTCCCAGAACGTTCTCAGAAATTTCCCCAAAAATTCTCCAAAAGTTTTTCCAAAGTTCCCCCCAAAAATTCCATCCCAAATTCCCATCAGGAAAAATCCAAACGTTTGGAATTGGAGCTGGACGAGGAGCGGAGCTCGGTGGAGCTGCTGAGCGAGAGGGTGACCCGGAGCCGGGACCAGGTAAAATCCCGGGAATTTCGGGAATTCTCATCTTGGCAAAAATGGAATTCTCCTAGAATTCCAACCCCCCCCCACCCCAAGGATCCACGTGAAAATTCCAATTGGGAATTGTCAGTTGGGCTGGGAATGGGGGAATTGGAAGAGGTTGGGAAAAGGGATAAAGAATTCCCAAAGAAATTCCCTATTTTTGGTGTCTGGGTGGGAATTTGGGGATTTTCCCAAATCTGGATGGATTCTGGGCTTTTCCCAAACTTTATTCCTTCCTTTTCCCCCCAAAATTCCAAGGCATAAATGGGGCATAAAAGGGGAATTTTTTCCACTTTGGGGATTTTCCCAAATCTGGATGGATTCTGGGCTTTTCCCAAACTTTATTCCTTCCTTTTCCCCAAAAAAATTCCAAGGCATAAATGGGGTATAAAAGGGGAATTTTTTCCACTGGGGAATAATCCCAGGGATCCTTTTCCCGCAATTCCCAGAGAATCCCAGCACATGTGCCGATCCCATTCCTGAAATCCATGGGAAAATCCATGGAGAAATCCGTGGAACATCCTGGAAATCCCTGGAAATTCCCGGATTTTTCTGGTTTTATTCCCAGATCGAGCAGCTGCGGGCGGAGCTGCTCCAGGAACGTTCGAGCCGCCAGGACCTGGAATGTGACAAATCCTCCCTGGAGCGCCAGGTGCGGGAAATTCCCGGAAATTCCTGGAAAAATTCCCAGGAAAGTCCTGGAAAAATCCTGGGAAAAACCTCACAAAAATTCCCGGAAAAATCCCAGGAAAATCCAAAATCGAATCCTGGTGGGAATGGCCCAGGGGGAGCCCAGATTTCATGAGGAATTCTGGGAAAAGAATCCTTGGGAATGGGATCATGATTCCAAGGAGTTTTCCCAGTTTTTTCCTGCTTTTTCCCTACATTTCCTGCTTTTTTTCTGGTTTTTTCCACCTCTTCCTGGTTTTCCTTTTATTCCCAGTCCCAGCTTTTGGGGTTCTCTGCCCTCTCCCAGGATGTTTTTCCTGCAGGATTCCAACAGAATTCCCACTTTTCCTGTGCAGTATTCTCACTTTTCCCTGCAGACAAGTCCCAGAATTCCCACTTCTCCCCACTTTTCCCAACTCCCGGAATCCTGCAAAGAATTCCCACAATTCCTCCCCATTGGGAAACTTGGCAAAACCGGGAAGAGCCCCGGCATCAGGGGGAATTTTTGGGAATTTTTCCCAGAACAAGGAGCTGAAGAACCGGCTGGCAGCTTCCGAGGGGCAGCAGCGACCCGGGAACAGCCGGAATTCCCAGCTGGAATCGCAGCTGGAAGAGCTCCGGGAGCAGCTCCAGGCCGAGGAGAGGTGCCCGACCCCAAATCACAAATCCCCAAATGATTCCAATCCCAATTCCCAAATTCCAATTCCCAAATTTTTTCCAAATCCCTTAAAAATCCCTAAAAAAAAAAAATCCTTGAAAATTCCTTAATAATTCCTGAAAGTTGCTTCAAAATTCCTTAAGAATCCCGTAACGTCCTTGAAAATCCCTAAAATTCCAGAAAGATCCATCCAAATCCCACTGCCAGGCCGCTCCAGAGGGCCGGGAATCCACGGAATTCCCGTTTTTCCACAGGGAGAAGAGCGTCCTGCTCTCGTCCAACCGGAAGCTGGAGCGGAAAATCAAGGAATTGTCACTGCAGCTGGACGAGGAGCGGCAGAACAGCAGCAGCCACAGGGACCAGGTGGGGCTGGAATTCCTGGAATTCCATGGAAAAATCTGGGAGAGGATGCAGGATTTGTCCCGAAAATCCCATCTGAGCCACGGCTTGGAATCTTGAAATGGTTTGGGCTGGGAAAGATCCTTAAAAATTCCTTAAGGCCAGGGACATTCCCACCATCTCAGGGATGGGGAATCCATGGAAAAACCAGAGCTTGGATCCTGAAAATCCCTAAAATCCCATCCAAGGAATTCCTGGAATGATTTCGGATGGGGGAAAAAAAAAAAAAACCAAAAATCCTTTAAAAATCCTTAAAATATCCTTTAAAATCCTTAAAATTCCGAGGCCGGGGCCAATCCCTGCACCTCAGGATTGTCCCAAAATTCCCAAATCCCAAATCCGACCCCGAGTCCCGGGAATTCCCAGCTGAGCCTGCGGGTGAAGGCCCTGAAGCGCCAGGTGGACGAATCCGAGGAGGAAATCGAGCGCTTGGAAAACGCCCGGAAAAAATCCCAGCGGGAGCTGGAGGAGCAGCAGGAGCTCAACGAGCAGCTCCAGCGGCGCCTGAAATCCATGGAAAAGGAGGCCTGGTAAGGAATTCCCGGCTGGAAAATTCCAGAACCCATGGGATAGGTTCCTAGACTTATGGAAAGGTCCCAAGCCCACGGGAAAACCCCAAATTCCAAGGAAAAACTCCTAAATTCATGGGAAATGATGGAGATCCATGGAAAAGGAGGCCAGGTAAGGAATTCCCGGCTGGAAAATTCCAGAACCCATGGGATAGGTTCCTAGACTTATGGAAAGGTCCCAAGCCCACGGGAAAACCCCAAATTCCAAGGAAAAACTCCTAAATTCATGGGAAATGATGGAGATCCATGGAAAAGGAGGCCAGGTAAGGAATTCCCGGCTGGAAAATTCCAGAACCCATGGGATAGGTTCCTAGACTTATGGAAAGGTCCCAAGCCCACGGGAAAACCCCAAATTCCAAGGAAAAACTCCTAAATTCATGGGAAATGATGGAGATCCATGGAAAAGGAGGCCAGGTAAGGAATTCCCGGCTGGAAAATTCCAGAACCCATGGGATAGGTTCCTAGACTTATGGAAAGGTCCCAAGCCCACGGGAAAACCCCAAATTCCAAGGAAAAACTCCTAAATTCATGGGAAATGATGGAGATCCATGGAAAAGGAGGCCAGGTAAGGAATTCCCGGCTGGAAAATTCCAGAACCCATGGGATAGGTTCCTAGACTTATGGAAAGGTCCCAAGCCCACGGGAAAACCCCAAATTCCAAGGAAAAACTCCTAAATTCATGGGAAATGATGGAGATCCATGGAAAAGGAGGCCAGGTAAGGAATTCCCGGCTGGAAAATTCCAGAACCCATGGGATAGGTTCCTAGACTCATGGGATGGTCCCAAGCCCATGGGAAAACCCCAGATTCCAAGCAAAAAGTCCTAAATTCATGGGAAATGATGGAAATCCGTGGAAAAGGAGGCCTGGTAAGGAATTCCCAGCTGGAAAATTCCAGAACCCATGGGATAGGTTCCTAAACTCATGGAAAGGTCCCACGCCCACGTGAAAACCCCAAATTCCAAGAGAAAAGTCCTAAATTCATGGGAAATGATGGCTGGTAAGGGAATTCTGGTTTGGAAGAGGCCGGGAATTCCATGGAAAAGGCCGGGAATTCCATGGAAGAGGCCGGGAATTCCATGGAAGGCGGAATTTCCCCCGGCAGGCGCCGCGCCGTGGACTCGGCGCTGCAGGACGAGCGGCTGAGCTCGGATGAGGAGTTCGGATCCGCGGCCATCGCCTCCCTCCTGAGCGAGGCCAACCTGCAGGCCAGCTCCTGCTGAGGCCGGGAATGCCGGGAATGCCGGGAATGCCGTCGTCATCGTTGCCGTCATCGTCATCGTCATCACCGTCTTCGTCGTCACCGGGATTGGTTCCGGGATTGGTTCCGGGATTGGTTCCAACCTGGGATCAGCCCCCTCCCGCTGATTCCTGGGAATTCCGGAGCTGGGATCGAGTCTGGGATCAGCCCCAGAATTCCAGCCGGGATCAGCCCCAGAATTCCAGCTGGGATCAGCCTGAGAATTCCAGCCGGGATCAGCCCCAGAATTCCAGCCGGGATCAGCCCCAGAATTCCAGCTGGGATCAGCTCCACAATTCCAGCCGGGATCAGCCCCAGAATTCCAGCTGGGATCCGCCCCAGAATTCCAGCCGGGATCAGCACGGGATAGGTTCCTAGACTCATGGAAAGGTCCCAAGCCCACGGGAAAACCCCAAATTCCAAGCAAAAAGTCCTAAATTCATGGGAAATGATCTAAATCCGTGGAAAAGGAGGCCTGGTAAGGAATTCCCGGCTGGAAAATTCCAGAACCCATGGGATAGGTTCCTAGACTCATGGAAAGGTCCCAAGCCCATGGGAAAACCCCAAATTCGAAGGAAAAATTCCTAAATTAATGGGAAATGATGGAAATCTGTGGAAAAGGAGGCCTGGAAGGAATTCCCAGCTGGAAAATTCCAGAATCCATGGGATAGGTTCCTAAAGCCATGGAAAGGTCCCAAGCCCATGGGAAAACCCCAAATTCCAAGAGAAAATTCCTAAATTCATGGGAAATGATCTAAATCCGTGGAAAAGGAGGCCTGGTAAGGAATTCCCGGCTGGAAAATTCCAGAATCCATGGGATAGGTTCCTAAAGCCATGGAAAGGTCCCAAGCCCATGGGAAAACCCCAAATTCCAAGAGAAAATTCCTAAATTCATGGGAAATGATCTAAATCCGTGGAAAAGGAGGCCTGGTAAGGAATTCCCGGCTGGAAAATTCCAGAACCCGTGGGATAGGTTCCTAGACTTATGGAAAGGTCCCAAGCCCATGGGAAAACCCCAATGCTGCTGCTGCTGCTCCATAGGAAAAAATTCCCAAAACGAGGACATGAAGGAACAACAGCTGGGACCCCGTGGGAATCCAGGGATTTCCAGGGATTTCCAGGGATTTCCAGGGATTTCCCGGGATTTCCAGGGATTTCCCGGGATTTCCCGGGATTTCCAGGGATTTCCCGGGATTTCCAGGGATTTCCAGGGATTTCCAGGGATTTCCCAGCTCCTGAGGACACTTTGGGGGAATCTCGGGATTTCCCAGTTCCAGGAATTTTTATTCCCGCCTGCTCCCAAAGATGTTTTGGAATAAAATCCCGCGGTTTAAGGGCAGCAGGGTCTGGAATTTTTTGGAATTCTGGGTGGGAATGTTCAGGAATTTTCAGGAAGTATGGGCAGGGAATTCTTGGAAATTTTGGGTGGGACTTGGGAATTCTCAGGAATTCTGGGTGGGAAATTCTTGGGAATTGTGAGTGGGAATTCTTGGGAATTCTCAGCAATTCTCGGTTGGGAATTCTGGGTGGGATTTAGGAATTCTGGGTGGGATTTAGGAATTCTGGGTGGGATTTAGGAATTCTGGGTGGGATTTAGGAATTCTGGGTGGGATTTAGGAATTCTGGGTGGGATTTAGGAATTCTGGGTGGGATTTAGGAATTCTGGGTGGGATTTAGGAATTCTGGGTGGGATTTAGGAATTCTGGGTGGGATTTAGGAATTCTGGGTGGGATTTAGGAATTCTGGGTGGGATTTGGGAATTCTGGGTGGGATTTAGGAATTCTGGGTGGGATTTGGGAATTCTGGGTGGGAATTTTTGGGAATTCTGGGTGGGAAATTCGTGGGAAATTCTTGGGAATTGTGAGTGGGAATTCTTGGGAATTCTCAGCAATTCTCGGTTGGGAATTCTGGGTGGGATTTGGGAATTCTGGGTGGGAATTTTTGGGAATTCTGGGTGGGAAATTCGTGGGAAATTCTTGGGAATTGTGAGTGGGAATTCTTGGGAATTCTCAGCAATTCTCGGTTGGGAATTCTGGGTGGGATTTGGGAGTTCTGGGTGGGAATTCTCGGGTGCCACCTCTGTCCCCTGCTGTCCCCGCCCCACGCAGGTGGCACCGGGATGTCCCCAGCAGGTGCTGCCCCTGTCCCCGGGTGTCCCCCGGTGTCCCCACCCCGGAAGGGCCACGCCCGGTGACCCCGCAGGTGCCACCAATGCCACCTCTGTCCCCTGCTGTCCCCCGGTGTCCCCACCCCGGAAGGGCCACGCCCGGTGCCCTCGGAGGTGCCCCCGGACCGGCCCGACCGGTCCCGCGCTGTCCCCCCCCCCCCCCCGTGCCTCAGTTTCCCCGACACTTTGGGACATCCCGGGGACAGCGCTCCCCGAATTCCCAATCCCTGAAATTCCCGGGAGCTCCCAATCCCCGCAGTCCTCTGGAATTCCCTGAAATTCCCTCAAATCCCTCCAAAATCCCCCAAAATTCCCGGGGATTCCCTGGCATTCCGCTGTGCCACCCGCCCCGGGGATGGGCGTGACACGCCCGGGCAGTGCCAGCCCTGGGGACAGCGCCGGGTGGCACCGGGGGTCGGGACAGCGCCTGGCACGGCTCCGGCGTGCCTTTGGCACGGCTCGGCACGGCTCTGGGGACACGCCCGGGCCGGGCTCGGCACGGCTCCGGCCTCGGCAGGGCGGGGCTTTGGCACGGCTGGGGACACGCGGGTGTGACACCGGCACGGCTTGGGCACACCCGGGTGTGACACCGGCACGGCTCAGGTCACCTTGGGCACGCCTTGGCACAGCTTTGCCTCAGTTTCCCCCCCCCCCCCCGCCTTCTTCTCCTTCCTCCTTTTCCCCCAATTCTCCCCCTTTTTACCCCAATTCTCCCCCTTTTCCCCCCAATTCTCCCCTTTTTTCCCCAATTCTCCCTTTTTTTCCCAATTCTCCCCTTTTTTTCCCCCATTTCTCCCCCTTTTTTTCTCAATTTTTCCCTTCTTTCCCAATTCTCCCCCTTTTTTTCCCAATTCTCCTCCTTTTTCCCCAATTCTCCCCGTTTTTCTCCAATTCTCCTCTTTTTTTAACCAACTCTCCTCCTTTTTTTCCCCCAATTCTCCCCCTTTTTTCCCCAACTTTCCTCCTTTGTTTCCCAATTCTCCCCCTTTTTTCCCAATTCTCCCCCTTTTTCCCCCAATTCTCCTCCTTTTCCCCCCATTCTCCTCCTTTTTTTCCCAATTCTCCCCCTTTTTCCCCAATTCTGATCCTTTTTTCCCAATTCTTCCCTTTTCCCCCCAATTCTCCCAACTCCCCCCTTCCCTTGTGGGCGTGGCCTCCACCTTCTGGGCGTGGCCTCCACCTTGTGGGCGTGCCCACACGGCCTCATTACCAAATTTAGCCATGACCAAACATGGGCATGACCCAGGCGCGCGGGGGGGGGGCGTGGCCAAACACGGCGAACACTATCCAAACACGGGGGCGTGGCCGGCGTGGGCGTGGCCGGCGTGGGCGTGGCCACCTGGCTCAGGTGAGGCGGAAGTGGCGGCGGGGCCATGAACGGGCTCCCGGGCTGGGCCGCGCTCCCGGAATCCCCGGTAAGAAACCCCCCCCCCCCCCCCGGGACCCTCCCCCGAATTCCCAAAAACTTCCCCAAAAAAATCCCGCGCCATTCCCAAAAAGTTCCTGCATCTCCCGCAGAAGCCCCCGGGAAAATTCCTTTCCTCTGCCTCTTCCCGGAACGGCCGGGATTTTTTTTTTTCTCCCCCTTTTGGGATCCCTTTAGGAATTCCCGGGTTCCCTCCCCAAATTCCCGGATCATTCCCAAAATTCCTAATCCCTAAACATTTGGGGACCCTTTCCCGAAATTCCTGGATCCCCTTCCCAAAATTGCCGGGCCTCTCCTTTCCCCAGTCCCGGAACTCTCGGGCTCTTCCCGCCCTCCTGGGAGGAGTTTGGGGGATCCCAAATCCCTTTGGAATTCTTCCCCAAAATTCTCCAATCCCCAAATCCTCGGGACCCCCTCCCCAAAATTCCCTCCTTTTCCTCATTCCGGAAATTCCCGGAATTCCCGGCATTTTTTTTCCCCCCCTCCTGGAACGACTTTTGAGGGATCCCAAACCTCCTTGGAATTTCCGGGACCCCTCCCAAAAATCCCAAAACCTTCCCAAAATTCCCAAATCCTTCCCAGAATTCCCTCGGGATCCCCTCTCTAAGAACCCCGGGACCCCTCCCCAAAATTCCCTCCTTTTCCTCATTCCCGGAATTCCCGGGATGATTTTTGGGCAGCCCCATCCCGGGATTTTCGGGATCTTCCCGGCTCCGTTTTGCCATGGAATTCCCGGGAATCTCTCCCCAAAATCCTCTTCTAAAATCCCAATTTTTTTTTTGGGAATTCCGAACCCCAGGAGGCGGGGCCATCCCGGAATTTTCCAGCCGGGATTTGAGGAGTTTTCCCTGTTTTTTTTTTTTCCCCGGTTTTTTTTTTCCCGCTTTTCCCAGCCTTGGGGCGGGGCTGCTACATTCCCAAAAATCCAACCCCGCCCTAAATCCCGGGAAATTTGGGAATTTTGTGTCTCAAATCCCAACGATCCCAGGGTTTTTGATGGATTTGGAGAGCTCTGGAATTTTCCCCGCATTCCAGGCTGCTTTTCCTGGTTTTCCAGAGTGAAATTCCTCATTCCCAGCCTTTTCAGGAGCGCTTTGGGAATTCCCAAAATTCCCGTTTTTTTTTTTTTTTTGGGATCCCCCACTCCTGGAATTTTTTGGGATTCCCCCATCCAGAATTTCCGAGATTCCCAAAATTCCCATTCCCGGTGAATTTTTCCTCCAAAAATAAATCCCCTTGGGGTCGGGTGGGGAAACTCCTTGGGAATGAATATTTGGGAATTTTGGGAATTTTCTGGTTCAGGGCAGGTTTTTCCCAGCAGGAGCTGAGCATGAGGCGTCCCACAGAATTCCCAGAATTTCCCAGCCCTGAAAACTCCCCTGGATCCCTGGAAAGTTCCGGAGGGGTCCCCAAATCTGCCTGGACTCCGGAGGTGAGTCCTGGAATTTTTGGAAAACATCCCCCCCCAAAAAAAATCGGGATCCAGAGTCGCTTTTCCTTCCCTTTCTCCTTTCCGATCCCAGCGGAGAAATCTGGGAAGTGTGGGATTAATCCCGGATTTATCCTGGATTTATCCTGGATTTATCCCGGATTTATCCTGGATTTATCCTGGATTTATCCCGGATTTATCCTGGATTTATCCTGGATTTATCCCGGATTTATCCTGGATTTATGCCGGATTTATCCTGGATTTATGCCGGATTTATCCCGGATTTCTTCCCAGTTTATCCTGGCTTCTTCCTGGATTTATCCCGGATTTCTT